TCTCCTCATCTCAATGAAGTTGGCCCTCCTGAAGTCTAGGGCTACCGCCTTGCTGCGGGCCCTTGACACCCTACGCTGGATGGCGAATTCCAGCAAGCGATGATCACTATTGCCCAGGTGGTCAAGAACCTGGAGGCCCCTTACCAGGACTTCTCATGTCACCATATATCCACTGGTATCTGTGGGTCTTGGAGTATGTAAAGGTGTTGTGATGTACCCTCTTGACCACCATCAGTGGGCATTTAAGTAGCAAAGAAAATGGAGGATCATTAATATCAAGGGATGTCTAATTCATGAAAATTTGGGTATGTGTGTGAAGACGAGAATCTTGAGGCATGAGATAAGTGCCTGTATGAACAACACAAAGTCCAGCACTGCACCTTTGATTTAGTTAGTGAAAACCACTCTGATGTAGCTGGAAAGGGATGTGTTTGTGTAGGTACTCATTGTCCATATGTTTTGATTAACTGAGAAATGTTGTATTTGATGATGTTTTCTGTCAATCCATGTTTTTGTAATGTTTCATCAGTTAGTGGTTATGATTTTACATATTTTGTGCCCTAGTGGACTGTTCAAGTCTATTCAAGCTAAACCTTGGCTATATCAGAATATAACCCCAGCAGATGGGACTGCAGCAAGTTTTCTCTTCCTCTGATCTACACACTGTACTCCAATCTACAGTAAAAGCTCTGTTATCTGGCATCCCCTGGGAATGGGGGATGCTGGATAACAAAATATGCCGGTTAATTGAGCGGCCCCGGCTGCCACTTCTCCCGCCGTATCTGGGGCATCCCTCTGCCCCTCCTGTAGCATCACCACCCCTCCCGCCGTATTGCCGCCCTTCCCTCAGGCCCTGTGGGCCCTGCAGGACAGGGAAGTGGGCCCCACACAGGCCCATGCAGCCACAGTGGGCACTTCCGGTTTCACTTTTCCTTACAAGCCAGCATGCCAGTTAACAGAGTGTGCCAGCTTGTAAGGTGCCGGTTACCAGAGAGTTTACTGCATTAAGAAATACAATCAAGAAACTGTGGTTCAAATCACACATAACAAAAAAGAAGTACAGACAGTACTAGAAAAGGTCCAGAATGCTGGACAGCATTCTTGGTGGGAAACTTTAATTGGATGAAGTCCAACTGATTTGGATTTTTAAACGTTATTTTGCTTTTTGTGCAAATGATATTGCTTCTGTTCATGATTTTATTGTGTTGGAAAATAAAACAGCTATATTTTAGACTAGAACACTATCAAGCTCAACGGCTGCAAAAAGTATATTATGACAAGCTCCTTCAACAAGCAGGATGTCAGGCAAGCCTGGGGTGAAATGATCACTCGCTGCATAAATAGCTCAGCTGATGGCTGCAACCCATACAGGACTTGAGCAGCAGGGGCAGAGTTTCATTACTAGACTGACTTCCATGCAGTGATGGCATAGGTGAACCTAGCCGTTAAGGAGGGGACTGTTAGGGTAGCTTGTCATATTTTATGCTTAAAGTTGCCTCTGTTTATAAAGTGGTGAATTATAGCATTGTTTAAAGTTTTCTTTACATTCAGCCTAAAGGTCTGTATAGTCTCTGTGGTGGTTGGGCTTAGGATGCCTCCTTTTACCCCTCTATAGTCACCCAACGAACCATCGATACCCCGACTTTCCCGCCTGCCACATCTTGGATGTTATTCTATATTGATTTTTTTTTATGTCACTAGTCGGGAGGTTTGTTCTGTTAAAAAATTTTTTTTCCGTTCATTCTTATTAGGTCTCTATTAGAGTAGGCAGTATGGGTAAGTTATCTTGGTCGCTTCTCCATATGTTCGCACGTACTCAATGGTATAGATAATTGTAGTCTGATTCAGATCAAAACTTATCTTTATTTTTAACTTGTATCACTCTATACAACCTTCCTTTACTTTTAGGCAGAAGCTGTCTCTCTCTTTTTTTTTCTTTTTATAATATCAACTTGGTAATTCTACTTATCTAATACTCTTATGCTATAGCTATTAACTTGACTGAATGGAACTTAGTACTAATAAACAAACTCCCTTTCTTTCTTGTCCATCTGTGTTTCCATTCCTGTTGCAGGCTTTTGTCTTTGAACCCCACTATATACATTCTCTTTACCTTGTTGGCATATGAGTCTATCCCTTATCCTGCGTGTGACTGATGCCTCGAATCCTCTTGAGGGACAATCAGACACCATCTCTGAGTCCGTGATAATACTGTGCCATATTCACTCACTTCTTTTCTTTGTTTTCTTTCCAGGTCGGCCATGTAACATGTGTCCCATGGAGTTTGTTTCTTCAGCGATCTGCCCCTCGCTCTTAGAGCTTCCTTCTTCCTCCAACACTGCAAGAAGTCCTTAGGTAAGTTTCTGATTTCCCTGGAGATCCTTTTTCTTCCTGTTTTTCTCTTCTTTCCTCTGCTTTTTCCCCCACTGGAGCTCCCATCTTGCTTCCTCACTCCGATCTCAGAGCTTCTATCCTATTATGGTAGTGGCTCCGGAAACGGCATTCCCGAGGTCTTTTGGCCTTGGCTGCACTCGCTGTGCCCATACTTGCTCCTTCACAGTCTCATTGTTATCTGAACTTTTCATTTTCCTTCTGTTTGCAATATCAGCTGACCTTGTTTCTTGCAAGAAGCTTATGGCCTTGAGTTTGCTCGCATGATGTTTCTTTCCTTTTTCTGTCACTGTGAGAAGTTTTTCTAATGCAACATAGTAATAGTTTTGTTACTACCTCAAATTAACTGAACTTGACACTCACCAGCTGAATCAGAGGGATGAAATGATTGGATATGTTAATTAAGGTGATAAAGGAGACCAATGGACAATGCTTAAAGTAAGACACCAGAAAAGGTTCAGATTAAGAGGTGTGCTTGTAATGGGGCTGTTGAACAAAGGAATATGCAGACCAGATAAAATATGAACAATATGCTGACTACAGAGAGACCAATCAAAAAGCAAGGAGGCATCAAAGAAGTCAATTAAAGAAAAGCATAACAGGGTGAAGCAGGAAAGTTAAGCGTGTCATTGTTGTCATTATCATCATCATTTACATCATGAATCCAGCTTTCAACACAGCCAACAATGCACCCTTTGCTTCAGGAACTGAGTGGCCATCATTTCTGTAAGGCAAAGTAACATCTGGGATTGGGTGACATCATTGTACTAAGTGTTTTTTCTCTCTCTGAATATAGAAACTGCTGAGATAATACTTGCTGTATTTATAAAGTTAGACTTTGATTTTAGTACACTGAGTTGTCTGTGTTCATATTTCACATTCCATTTAAGGATTAATTGTGCTTTAATGACCCCTAAGCACTATCTAAACACTATCTGCTGATCAGTGGTATGAACAGGCCCTTAGGAAGTTTGATTCTGAAAAGCAATAAAAAATGTAAGAACAGTAATGATCTAAGAAAGGCAAGATATGCCACTAACCAAACCAAACAGCTTGTTTGAAAAAGGAAGGGGAACATGTGGTCTGGCTCCTTTCAACATGGTTATTAGATGACATCTTCCCATAAAAGGAGATTATAATGAATGTGGTACAAGAGGAAGAAACATACCAAAGGGATGTCTGAACCACGAGGATAAAAATGGTGGGAGAAGAGTAAGTATTAATCTCAGTGGATAAACATTTTAAATAAGTCTTTCAAGAAGTATCTGTACTAACTGTACACATT